TAGTATATTTCAAGTACTGGCAAAGGAAGATGAAAAAAGAGAATGAAGCCAAATAGTGAATGATTTTGAATACTGAAGTGAAGATTTAATTATCCAGATATTGAAGAGAACCTGAACATTTTAGAGGAAGGGAGTAAAATTCTTAAAGGTGCACTTTAAGGAATCTGACCTGGAGTAGTGTCCATCGATTACTGTATTTAAAGAGATGAGGTGAAGGTCCTCCATCGTTAGTGGCTGTTCCAAAATATGACCTAGAACATGTCCCTTACATTTCTGAGTATGTATCATAGATGAACTCTTAATTGCCATGTCATGTGGTGCTAATAGAATCGAATGACAAGTATTTGTAAGGACTTCTTATGTGTGTGCCCAGTTCTATGCTAACTGCTATAAGGAGTACAAAATAACCCAACGATTTGAAATTTTTCACGGACTGTAGAGTCTAACAAGTTGGGGGAGGATGCTGATAACTTGGATTAGATAAAGCCAAATTTGTATTTACTGTAAATGTAATTTACAGTAAAAGATGGAAGATGGCCACGTGACCTGGAAGGGTTAGCATTTAAACTGATTTAAGGATTGGGTGACATTTACATAGGTGGTGGCAACAACATGAATCAATATGAATGAAGATTCTTTGGCAAGAAAATATGCAGGGACAATGAGAAACTTATTTTAAATGAAATTAGGAACTGGTGTTGGTAGATGAATAAGAAACTGGTAAGGTAGGAATTTCGGACCCACTCATAAAAGCCATTTGGAGATGGACCAAGTGATTTGGGGTAAGAAATAATAAGATGTAGAAGGTTCATCAGCAGGGATTTATATCATTAAAAGGTAACTCAGAAAATTTAGTCTGGCAGCAGTATTCATGGATTTGAGAGTAGAAGAAATTGGAAATGAAAGAGTCTAAAACGCTGTTATAGGAAACAGGTGTGAAGGCTTGGAGTACAAAGCTACTGACAGTAGGAATGGAGAGATAGAACAAAACTGAAATAAAAATTTTGATGAAAGAATGAAAAAGAAATTGGCACTAAATTGCTGGAAACTAGAAAAGGAAGAATCAAAGATTAGTCCACACAATGATTGGAGAAATTAGAAGGACATATTTTCACAGAGGAGAGCAGGGATGAGAAAGAACATGATATGCTTGGTCTTAAACATACTGAGTTTTAAATGATATCATAAACCAAAGGCATATGTCTTTAAACTATAAGATTAGAGTACAATTGAGATGTTCATGTTACAGACTACAGTGTGTTATTTATTATCATATTTTAGAGAGTCAGGACATTACTGTAACTTCTGATTTTGTTTAGTTTTAAGCTCCATAACCTTTGCAAATCAGTCTAGTTCTCCCCTCTGGAAAAGGGAAAAATAAAATTAGTAGCTATTTTATTGCGTATATATTTATTATATTCTGGACAGTACATTAGGCTTTCCTTTCATATGGTTTTATTCCTGAAAACAGCCCTCCTATAAGGTAGATACTGTGTCATCTCCATTTTACAGATCAGCAGTCTGAAGCTCAGAGAGCTTATATGACCTTAGATTGCACAACTAGGAAGTGACAGAGTCAGGATTCGAACCAAAGACTTTGTCTCCAAAGCTACTGATTTTAACCAGTTATGCAATGCTTTCACTGTGCCTCACAACAATATGTGCCTTACCTACTCTTAACAGTTAAGCTGTGTATTTATGAAGTGTTTATTAAGTGCCATATTGTATGCTAAGTGTTTTTATGCATTATTTTATTTAATTATCTAACACACCTATGAGGTTGCTATAATTAATGTTTACATTTTATAGATGAGGAATTACTTAGAGGGTGAGTTACTTTTCCAAAGTCACATAGCTGGGAAGTAGCAGAACTGGAATTTATGCTTTAAATTTATCTGATTTCAGAGTCTATGTGCTTGTTTATTCTTAAAAGTCATTTTGAAGATTAAATAATTATATTATTTCCTTAACTTTAAGGCATAAAGCAAATAGTGTTTAATTAGTAGTGATAGTGTTAGTATTAGCAGCAGCAGAATAGCTCAAAAGTGGTGCTTGAAGCCATGCAGTGCAGGAACTACCCAAGGCTATAAATTGATAGAGAAAAACATCTTATAGAGAGAAAATGAGGGATATTTATAACTTAGGAGTCGCAGGAGGGAAAGGAGTCAGAGAAGCATAACAGTAGCTTAGGAAATTCAATAACATGGAAGCCTGAAGAAAATAATCTCAAAGATTTGAGACATCAAATGCCACATAAAATTTGAAAAGGATAAGGTCATTGGACTCTCTCAGCAAACTACTGCTCATGATGAGATACCAGTAGACAGAACCACCATCCATCCAGTTTCCCAATGCAGAAAGCTTGAAATTTTACTTTTTTTTTTTAACTTTTCTTACTCCTCTAAACAAATCATTATTTCAGCCTCCTAAAAACCTCTCTCAAAGTATCTGCACTCTCCTCTCCATCTTCACTGCCACTTCCACAGTTCAGGAAATCTTCACCTCCTGCCTAGATTGCTTCAGTGACTTCTCAGTTCTTTCTGCTTTTGACTTACTCCCCACCAGCCCATTCTCCATTGTGCAGACAGAACGTTTCTAAAAGACAAATGCAGTCATGTCAGTTTTCTGCTTAATACCCATCCCTGGGTTTTTATTGGCCTTAGGATAATGACTTAGCATGGTTCTTGAAGCCCCATAAAATCTGTCCTACCACCATTACTCATCTAGTTATGCTCTAGCTATGGCAAACTTATTTCAATTTCTAGTACCTATCATGTGCTCTGGGACTTAACCTATGCCCTTCTTTCTGGAACAGTTTTTCCTTCTGTCTTCTCTTTCCCCCTCCCTTCCCTCACTCTCTCCAGCCTTTCCTGGTTACTCAATCCTTCAGATCTCAACTTAAGTTTTACTTTCTTTGAGAAGCCTTTTGAGTTCCTTCTAGTTAGGTCTCCTGCTTTATACTCCACAGCATCTCATGTATCCACCAAAGCTATCACTACCCTTTATTGTAATTGCTTGTTTAACTTTCTGTCTATACCTCTAGGCAGTAAGCTGTTTCATGCAAAATTTATGTCTGCTCCCATTGTTATCCCCAGCACTTAAAATAATGCCAAATTTATCATAGATATTCAGTAAATACTTTTCGAATAAGTGCTGTGAGTGAATATATGCAGCATGAAATTATTTTATATGTTAAACATGTTATTAAATGAAATGGGGCTGGGTTTTATAAACCTCATGGTTTTCTCTAACTGGTGAGAGGCTGGGTAAAGGTGAAGTACAATTTCATTTGGCTTTTGTTTTTTTCAAATAGAAGATAACTAACAGATAAATGAGGCTGGTTTAAAAGAAGAAAAGAATATTTAATAGGATATTCTTATAGTTATGGTTATTGCAGTCTTTGAAAGGGATAAAAAATTGAACAGAGAACTCATGATGCCCTTAACCTTTTCAGTTCAATAATGAGTATCATTCAGATGGAGTTACTAATATGAATATCAATATCAGTAAGTATGTCAGAAAAAGATAGAATCATATAATAGTCTTTTCTTTTACTAGGAATTCACTTTTTAAATACTCAGACTCTAAGACATTCTTATAAGCCATGAAATGACCCAAGTCATTCACATCTGTTCAAAATGTTTCTTAAAAAGCTTATCTTAATAGTTACATGGTAAAATTAATATTTCTGATATCAGCTCCCATAAGAACCAACTGTATAAAATTTGCTTCTTCTCTACTTCATGAAAATTTATCTACTTTGTTCCTGTGAGCTCTTTTACAAAATGCCAGCGGTTTTCTTTCCTCACTTTTCTTGCTATTTGGCTTTGCAGTATCATTCACATTACTACCGATCCTTAGAATTCTCATAGATCCATTCTTTAAATCCTTAAAGGCATATAGTCAAAGTTGAAATGTAATGGATTCAGAATGGAAGCACAACTTCAAAATAACCAAATAAATAAATGCATAAATATGCAGGTAAAACTGAAGACTTATGGCACAGTCCCAGTACTGACAGTAACAGAAGGCATCAGTGGAGTCACTCTTCCTTTGGGCTATGAGGACTTAGGTTAAAAGAGGCTGTAGGCAGAGAAAACTATGAAATTCAGAATGGAGATGAAATCATAGTAATAAAGCCTCAACACAGGAGCAGAAAGATTCAGTAACACAGCTAGTGAGAGTGCCCCCCATCACTGGGGGGCAAAGGAGATTATTTTAGGCAAAATAGGAGATTATGTGTCAGGCAAATAGATTATTTTACTCTCAATATCAGGATCATTTAAATAGTATAACTTACATTTAATACCAATCACGGGTTGTCGTGGGTTTGTTTGTTTTTTTAAATTTCAGGTTTAATTAGATGACATTATAAGCTCTTCTAACCTTTCTTGAAGTTAGACCTTCCTAAGGCTTGTCTGCAACTTTGGAACTTCACTAGTTCTCAATACCCTTGGAGCTTTACTAATAATAATAACCTTAAGCGTAACAACCATGTTTGCGGCTTCTTTTGTTCACAGGCCTAAGGAAGGGCCTTAGATTGCTCTCTCTGTGTCTCTGAGAAATGCTCTAAACACAACACATTTTTTCCCCTTCCACATTTGGTCAAAGAGGAGAAGCACACTTATGCTGTACATATTCTCATTTACTACATAATGACTTAGTACCTTTCCTTCTTAGCCTCTCTTTCAATCTAAAACTAATATAGTCCTAAAATTTATAATAACCTCTAAATTTTTCATTACATGCAAAAATGTTGGTTGTTTACACATTTCTGTAAAGGTTTTGGGATTATGAAAAAATCCCATGCTTTATGATAGCATTTTTCAAATGGCTTTAAATACGTCTTTTAAGCAGAAATATAACATTATTTTCCTTGCGATCTATTTTGGAATTAAAGCTTCATACATGGATATTTTTAGAGCAAATAATATGTTAAATGAGCATTTTTGCTAGTTAATTTTAAGTTTACTGTTTTTTATTTTTATTTTTATTTTCAGCTTTCTAAGAAATATGGAGTCCATGTTTGTGGAGAAGGTGGAGAGTATGAAACATTCACTTTGGATTGTCCTCTATTTAAGAAGAAAATAATTGTGTAAGATATCATTTCAGCATTTTCTTCCCTTTCTTTAAATTTAAGTGATGGAAGCAACTTTGCATTAAGCTCGAGGCAACTTTTGTTGGGAGAAATAGAACATGTCCTCTAAGTTCACAAACACTCAATTTGTTTAATACCAGTGAAGTCGTCTGAATACCTAAATCAATACCTGACAAGACGAGGCCTTCATAGAAGGCTATAAACTTTTTAGACATTGCACTTTCGTTTACTTGCTGATTATGGCCTGCAGTAAAACTGGTACCTACACACTGACACTTTTATCCTTTCATGAAGTGCGAATTGCCTGTATTATTTATCTTTCATTACAGCTACGTTTGATAAACTGCCACATCAGTAGCCAGTGGGTTCCATTAACTCTATCCTCTTTTTCCTTTTTCTTGGCTTTAACAACTTAAGATGGTAACACTAAACATTTCTCTTCAATTATTTGGTGTTATTTTTACAAATAAACTTTGTAAATTCAGTTTATGGTGAGTAGTGTGATTTCTTTGCCATAAATTGTTAAAATTAGTGTAACGAAAAACAGGAACTTTCTCCCGTTTGTTACATTATTATCCATACTATAATTTATGTCACTCTTCTCATATGCTAAGAGAGCACTTTATCTGCTTCTTGATAAACATCATCAGAATTATGCTTGATTTCAGAAATAATATGCACCTCATCTGATGAAAGATTAGAATTCTGTATTGAATAGACAGCTTCAATATTTTCAACATTGGGAAGTGATTTCTTTGGACATATTAATAATGAGGGAAGGAATGATCTAAGAAAATTACGGCAATTTTAGGTAAATTTTCTAAAATATCCATTGGTCTTGTGAAACATGGCCAAGACATTTTCATTACCATGTGCAATATTCACCCATTCTTGCTTCTTTAATGTTCTCCTAAATTCTTTTCCATTAATGATCATCAGCATAATAATTTATTTGGCAAATACTTATCAAATACCAGTTATGTCCAAAGCTTTCTTCTGGGCACCATTGATGTTCAAACATAATTCCTGCCTCCAAAGGGTGGAGGGACACACATCTGTATATATTATGATACAAGATGGTAAAGGATAAGAGACATAAGAATAAGCTCGTAATTGGGAGGTATTTCTCTGGCTGTGATGATCACAAAACCATTCATGAATGAACTATGCATGAGGTATTATTTCTATTAAATAAATACTGTTTCATTATTCAAGAAAAGAATTTGCATGCTAGTGTGAAATTACAGTATAATAGGAAACTTGCAATATATTTATTTTATTAATATGGGACTAACCAAAAAATTTTTTAGAAGCGTGATAAGAGGAAAAATGCCCAAGAGTAATGTTTTCCCCATTTACTTGACAAGTTGAGTCCTAGAACACCCAGAAGTCTTTTTGGACAACCTAGAATTATAAGATTTTTACTTTTTTATATGACTTGACAAGAAGGTCAGTTTATCACTGTACTTTAGATTGAAAATGAATCTTTTCTACCTCATTATTTTGTATATAAAGAAAGGAAACCTAAGGAAACCTAAGCCTGACTGAGACAATGTCATGAGGGGTATTTAGTCATGCTATTAAAAAGAGAGATTTCAGAGGAGGTGTGTTAGAACCTTCTAATTCTAATGTTATTGAACATTAACCCTCTAGTTCAAAATGTTATTGAGACAAATTACATGGGTGAGACTCTGCAAGCTGCTACCCTGCTCAGTAGGAGTTCTTTTTGTAAGAACGGTCAGTCAAATCAACAATACATAAGAAGTTCTAGCATATGGCTGTGTACTTTAAGAACAGCAGAAGAAGCACTGTCTTCCTTCTTACTCATTCGTCAGTACATCACTTATCTAATTCTAATGCTTAAGCACTTTCTTTGCTTTTTTTTCTTCATAGGCTCTGCCTACCTCAGCTTCACAACTTTCTTACTTGATTTCTTTTCTCTAAATCGCCTTTCCATTTCTCCCCACTTTGCAAAATTCTTTCATTTTTAAAGGCTTTGGTTGCCATTGCCTCAGTGCTTGTTCTCATACCTGAACTCTCATAACACAGTTGGCACCAACAAATGTCCGTTAAATATTGTTGAATTAACTTGTCATTTATTGTTGTTTGATTTTACATATCTATTTTACTTGTATGTGTTCCTTTTTTAGGTTATAGCTACAGGTTTGGGTTGGGATATCTCCTAATTTATGGGAAAAGAATATCACTACAAAACTTTTGCTCTTTAAAATAGAAAATATCTTTATCATACCTACCAATAAGCACTAAATGTGATGGTGTGAGTGAATATGCACTGCACATTCTAAAATTGTACGTAAATGAAAGTTATTTTATTTAGAGATAAGTGCCTATCAAAACTTAAGAACTAAAAGCCTAATGTTTTAATAAAAATGATAATGTTCTTCTTTTTATTAATAAGCACTTTTGTTTTAAAATATGCTACATATGCTACAATGAAAAAATTTAAGTTTAGTCCCTGTAACTATTTGTTAACAATTGACCATTAAAAATATTGGATCCTGTAACTTAGAATTCACTTTTGGGACAAATTTAACAATTTTTCCTGTTATATTTGATATAATTAACCTATAGCTAGTTAATTATTTAAAATCTCATTTCAAATGTCTGATTCAAATTTTTTTATAAAAAGACCACTTCTCAGAGGAGAAAAAACAAACTTTTACATGCAAAAATGATTTGATTATAATTAGAGATGTTTTTAAAACACAGATTGACTTTTTTCATAATAAAAAAAATTAAAAAGAAATCAGTGTGGTTCTAGCAGTTTATTATGAGATACGTTTTGTACGAAATTCCAGTTAAGATTTTTAAAATCTTGTAGGAAAGACTAATATAACAGCTTTTGGAAGTAATTTTTAAAAATTCAAGCTAGAACATTTTACAATTCACTTTTCATATCAATTGGAATGTGATTACTAACCTCTAGATACAAATTTTTAGGTCAGAAAATGAGTTTTTCCTTAAGAGCTTTGGTGCAAAGAATTACAGCCTAGCCTTTGAGAGAATTGGACAGTTGTAGGTCATCAAATAAATAACCTGCTTTCT